GACGGCTGGGTAGATGGCCAAGAGAACGTCTCTGTCCTCACATACGCTGCCAAACAGCGTGCTGCAATTGGTGCTCAAACCTCCATCAGAAGTGCACAGCATCCGCCCATTTATGCCACACATACACAGGTTGTTGGCTGCACCAATGCTTCCAAAGTGCACCAAATCATATGCGGGCTGGCCCACTTGGAAGCCACACTGCAAAGGACAACAACCTGTGCTCATGCACAGACTGGTGATGCCCAGCCACGTGCGATGTGTGCCACAGCTGATGGAGCAACAGCAGTAGAGCAAGGTCAACCGATGTGAAAGGAAGAATGGTAGATCTAAAGGAAGAGATATCACCTTGAAAATGCCACAAGGGGCACCTGCACCATTCATCTATTCCTGCTTGTAAATCCAATCCGTCCTTCCAGGCAGCCATTGACACTCGTGTGCATTGTGAGCCAATACCAGTGCCAATGCACACAACTTTGACTTCAGACTCCTCGGAAGCATAGTTGGATTCAACCTTGCTGCAGCCATGTGTTTACAGTTGCTACACTGTGCTGCTAACCAATCTGGCTGGGATTAAAACCTGCATTCCATGCTACAAAAATGTTAGAGAACACGGCACAGTACGTTTGTCAAATAATTGGCTTCTGGGTGGCTGGCGCTCACTGAATGGTCAGCACTGGCCCCAGCCACTCTCAGCACAGTCACCCTTCGCCCCTCTGCATCTGCAGCCTGCTTCACAACATCCAAGAACTTGTTGCTTTGAGTCATTGCGCCGGAGCATGTGCACGTCATCAGCAAACCCCCTCGCCGCAGCACCCTGATTGCAGCCCTGTTGATGCGTCGGTAGTGTGGGATTGCACGCTGCAGGCTTTGCCGATTCGGTGCCAGTTTGGGAGGATCCAACACCACAAGGTCCCACAGCCTGCCCTCCTGCTTTGCCAGCTCCAAGTACTGCGTGGCATCAGCCTGGGTAAAACTGCATGCGTCTGACACCCCGGACAATGTGGCATTCTTCTCAGCAAGTTCAATTGCTGGGGCAGATGAGTCAACCCCCACAACACCCCTGGCTCCACCCAGTGCAGCATTGATAGCAAAACCCCCGCTGTAGCAATACACATCCAACACCTCCTGACCCTTGGCTAATCTCCTGATCACTGCTCGGGAGTCCCTCTGATCCATATAGAACCCAGTCTTCTGTCCAAATGGGCTGGCCAAGAATGGGATGCTCCCTTCCCTGATCTCCACCTGTTCGCTGGCTAGCTCACGGCCCTCCGAGAAAATCTCTGCATCGACATCATGAAGGCCCTCCTGTTCCATGCTCCCAGCCGTTGGCCTCCAAATGACGTTCCTGATCCCAGTGCACTCCATCAGAAGATTAACAACTGTTTGCCTGTTGATCTGCAGCCAGGCGGCACCAGGGGCTGCCACCAGCAAATCTCCCAATACATCGACCACCAGTCCTGAAAGGTGGTCCCCATCGCTGTTGATCAGCCTATACGCATTTGTCTCCTCTGATGGGAAACCCAGAGCACGTCTCAGGGTCACCGCCTCCTCGATTCGGGTCTGAAGGAGTTGCCACAGGTCCAAAGCGCACTGGGGCTGCTGCTCAGCATCCTGGCAGCGCTGCATGATCCTCACTCGATACATCGAGTCGGGATTGAACAAACCCCAGCCAAGGAGCATTTTAGAGCCATCGTACAGGAGCACAGTGTCACCATGGGTTGGCATTCGCACCCCCTCGACCCTGTCAATAGCTCCACTGAAGACTAGATGGGACCCGAGGTGAAAAAGCCTGGCTTTCCCTCGTTTCAGGATAACTCTGGGGATCCCTGGGGCATAAAATCAAATTGAGAACCCAGACTTTAGTGCCTTCCAGCCACCATCATGGCAAATAACACCGTGCAACAAATCGTAACATCGCAACGTGCTAAAAAGAGCAACGTGTTGAAGCAGCGGCAGAAGTAGCAGAGCTGCAGACTGTGATTGCGACTTGATCTCCCTAATCTGTTGGAAGGAATTTGGACTGAATAAGGGAGGGGTCAGGTCGGCTGGGATGTCATCGCATTGGACTCCAACATCGCTCCAAGGAGAAATTGTCCTGCTGATAACAGGAGAGCCGCCATTTTGCAGTGGATGGATCTTTCCAAAGGCATTGGGAATGCCATTGTGGTCAGTTTGTGCATCTGTGGTGAGCATTAGCAGTATGACTACTTCAAGTCCAGCTTCCTTCAAAGATCTCGGGAAATGGAGTAGCACGTTGGGACGTGCAGCATCAGCCCACAGCTCCTGAACGTGAACAGGCCAGTAGTTGCATGAACTGGACATAACATGCAGTGGACATACACATGGGCAGATGCTATCCACAGGAAGTTGCAGCACAAATACCGTTGGCAGGGCAAAGCAAAAAAATCACAGGCAACTGCCGTTCAGCAGCTGGTGTTTCTGGCCCTGCAGCTTGGCAGAGAGATATGGAGAACTTTCACCTTCAGGAGTGTGGTGGGACCGGCACATCAAGCCAGTTGGACTTTTGTTCAGGCTCCACAGACAGTTTTGACAGAAACTCCATACATGGGATGGACGCAAGCACTGCATTCTACGTTGATGCCTATCCAGCTAAATGAAACTACGGGTCTCGTTACATGGAATTTTTGACGGCTGCGGACACCCATCCCACGCAGTGGATTGTGCTGATGCCAGAGCTCCGGATGGAGCGCCCGTCAGAGCAGCGGTGGCATGAAAGACCACAGCCAAAGTGTACATTGCGCGCGTTCCTTCGGGCGCCCGAAGCGTCTACTGATGTCCGCAATGAAGGCCAGCCACGGGCAGAATTTGATCGCTCCTTTCCCGAACCCCGTTCATTTGCCGCGCACTGCACCATGGATCGCCTCCGCAGCGCAGCGAGCCCGACCGGCATCCCCGAGCTGACATTGCGGCCACGCCGGGGCGTGCCCGAACGCAAGCGCCGCGCAAACCGCGCCGGATCGCACCCCCTTGCCTCTCCGCGGCCTCCCGCAGCGTGGTGCACGTCTCGGGCTTGACCCCCCGAGCTACGCACCAAAGGCCCGCGCACCTCGCCGGCCCCGCGCGCAGTGGCGCGAACGCGCCGCCACAGGCCAGCGGCGCCATCGGGCCCCGGCAAGACTACCGTCCGCCCGCCACCCACCAAGCAGCGTCCAATTGCATTGATCAGCAAGCACAGAGGGCGGCCCTCCGGCGATGACAAATGCTGACTGCGACGCGCGGCCGCGTACGGCATTACTGGACGTCGGGCCGACGTCCCGTGGGCGTCCAGTCGCCGGACTGAACTCTCCTCACCGAGCCAGACGGGGCTGACTAACCGCCGCCTGGGCGCCTCAGGCTCGGGCCTGCCGCCCGGCCGTGGACTGCCTATTTCCGGAGCCTGCGCTCCTCCCACCCCGCAGGCGGCCAATCTTCCCCCGCTGCCCCTGTCCGATTTGTGCGCTCCAGCCCCCCGTGTGCCGCAGCCGCCTGGGGGCCCAATTCCGAGCCTGGCGGCCAGAGGGACGATTGGGCGGCATTGATTGGACGCCTCGACGGCGCCCCGCGCCCGCTGGCGGCGACCCTTCGGCTTGGAGGCGCGAACATGGGCGCAAACTGCAGCTCAGACCGAGGGGGGGGCACCGAACCCGGCGGGGGCGAGGCCTGCGGGCAGAAGGGCGGAGAGGGGGCGAGCGGGGGTGAGGGCATGGGCCCGGGGCAGCAGCTTGAGCCGCGCGAGCCCCGCGCCAGCCAGGCGGCCTTGGAGGGCGCGCCGCAGAACTTCAGCGCGCGGCGGCGGGGGTCCGTGAGCGCCGAGGTGGCGTCCGTGGCCCTGGGCAAGCCCGTCATCAAGAACGTGAACCCCAAGTCCGAAGAGGCTGAGGCACGCATCCGGGCGTCCATCAGGTCCAGCTTCCTGTTCACGGACCTGGACGAGGAGCAGCTGCAGGACGTCATTCTGTCCATGGTGGAGAAGGCGACCAGCGCCGGTGACGTGCTCATCAACGAGGGGGAGGACGGGGACAACTTTTACGTCATCGAGCGGGGCACCTACGAGGCCAGCAAGGGCGGGGAGGTCAAGTTCACGTACGACGGCAAGGGGTCGTTCGGAGAGCTGGCGCTGATGTACAACTGCCCGCGGGCGGCGACGGTCAGGTCGGTGTCGGACGGCGTGCTGTGGGCCGTTGACAGGGTGACGTTCCGGAACTTGATAGTGATGTCGATGGCGCAGAAGCGTCAGAAGTACGAGAGCATACTGTCGGAGATGTACGTGTTCAGTGGACTGTCCATCGAGAGCAGGGCGGTCATCGCGGACTGCATAAGCGCGGAGGTGTACCGGGGGGGGGACTACATCCTGAGGGAGGGCAGCCCGCTGGAGAGCGACGCCAAGTTCTACATAGTGGAGAAGGGCACCATCGAGTGCTGGAAGACGCTGGACGGGGAGAAGAAGCCCGTGAAGACGCTGCTGCCGGGGGCGTACTTCGGGGAGGTCGCGCTGGTGTCCAAACAGCCGCGGCAGGCGGACTGCGTCGCCAGGACGGACGTGCGGGTGCTGTCCATGGGGCGCGACGCCTTCGAGAGGCTCATGGGGCCCGTGGAGAAGATCCTGGCGGAGAAGATCAAGGAGTACGCGGAGGTCGACGAGAAGGTGAAGAACGCGGTGTGAGCGACGCAGCTGCCGGCGGGGAGGGCTGGCGCTCGACCGCGCCCTCGAGAAATTGAGTTTCGGCTAAGTGTTCGAAAGGTCGTTTGGAGAAACAGTGCTGCCGCAACCGGGGATGGGTAGATTGCCCCTGGGCACGCATCCCGTCTGCATTTTCTTCCCCGCCTCTCCACCTGAGACCGCAGCCTGTTTGGTGGCCTGTCGGGCCCCAGTCTCGGGCTAATGCGGCCGGCGGCGGCGGCGGTCGAGCGCGGTCGGGGGGCAAATCAATTGAAGGGCGGAAAGGGTGTAACGTCGATGCGTGCGTTTCTGATCATGAAGCCTCAGCTGATTGGGTGTGGGGGCCGTGGAGGCGCACTCTCTGCGGCGATGGCAGTCTGCTGCTTAGAGGTGCAAATCCTTTCGTTATTGCATCTGCAGGCGTCGGCTCTGTGTATCCAGGAGTTTACGTGGTGATCAAAGACTGGTTGATGGCCAACTGGCACTTGGCACTTGGCTACTCTGTTGGTGCACATTACGTGTTTTGCGTCTTTGCGTGCTATTCACCTGAAAATAAGCCCACAGGATATGTGTGCGCTGGCCGATTGTTATTGGTACCTCAATCGCCTTCTGGAAGACGCAATGTTGACACTCCAGTTAATACTGATGCCATTGTTGAGAACCGGCCTTCCTGAGCGATTCCACACCGTGTGATAGATCAGGTAAAATTTGCGACACTCGTGTTCTATTTAAAAAGGACCAATCGTGCTGCCATGATTAGCACCAGGCTGTTGCATTACTGGTGTTATGGCACTGCGTCATTGTAGTTACTTGTCAGGTGTTGCCGTGGCTTCTGGTGGCGTTATGTACTGGCACACGGCATTCGAGGGAGCTGGTGGACAGCCAATCAGGGGGAGGTACTGTGGGCATCATCTCGGCGACGTCACCCGCGCATAGCATCAATTACTCGCTTAACTGATGTGCGCATGCAAGGCGAAATTCATCTCCCATAATTGGGGAGCGCAGATTCTCCCTCATGGCTTGAGTTGGACGTGGCTCTGATGATCACTTGGACAGTTAAAAAAGTGCAAGGGGTCCACAATCGGCAACCGGGTTGGGTTTCCCATGCAAGCCGTTAACGGAGGCCATACACTAAAATAAGTCTGTGGTATATATACGTTATATCGTCAGAGTAATTTTGTACACTAAATACTGAAGCAGACGCGTTCATGTAGGGCGGGGAACACGGGAAAGAGCTGAGAGCACTCGATTTACCGAATTTAGAGAATTAGAGGGTTAGATTGTGCGCTTGCGCATCAGTTTAGTAAATATAAGTACGGTAGCGTACTGGATACTGCAAGCAGCGCAAATGTTCCCAACTAGCATGCATCGGCGGCGGTAACCCCTACGCGAGGTGTCCTGTGCATATCGCTCCGTAAGTTTTGGGACAAGTGTGTTTGTGGTATGGGCAAACGACGTGTCTTGAGGGCATATCGTGTGCCACACTAGTACCTTGGCATTCTACTTTCCTAAGAGAATATATGGCCTTCGCAAACGCTCAAAGCTTAGTCTGAAGACCCAATTGGCGTCACCACCCGTTCATCTATTCTTTTCAGTAAAATATACTTTGCTCTATAGAAATTATCATTGTTGCCGGCAAATGCATCATGTATGCGCTCGTGGCAAATTATGCTGAGATTTCGCTCACTTTGTGTCACAGTATGTGGAATGGACGGGTCATGGCACAGGAAGGTGGCCGTGCTCTCAGCGCAAAGAGAGTGCGTGCCTGCATTGTCCACGAGCACTTGCGCTATATCCCCTAATCCACGTCCCACATTGAATTGCAACCATGGACTTCAACTTTCTCGCAATATCAGAATGGCCATAGGGGACGGCACAATGCAGCAATGCGCTGCGTTATTGACAGTGCGCGATCGGCGCTTGGAGGCAAATTTGTCAGCATTCAAACGCGGCAACATTTTGAACCGCCAGATGTGGCACAACTTAGTTCAGAGCTGATGATGGACAAGAGATATCCCATGACCCATTGCACCAGTCTTGACAACAGTTCTCCACGGAATTGCAAGCGTGGCTTCCTTGACTCCCAGAACGTGTTTACTGGGTGAATCGAGATTTCGGCTTTTGGACATCCATAAACAGCACTATGCTTTGCTCCATACTGACAGCATGACTTTTGTAATCTACAGTGTACCATGCTCATTCGTCCCCATACTCCATGGCACACACCCGCTATTTGTCCTCACTCATCAATAATGACAAATACAATGCATACTCATAGATTTCCAGTTGTATGACAAGCACAAGCTTTCATGGAGCCTTGTATATTTGTATTTGTTCAGCCACATTCATAAGTCTTTGCCATATCTCCAGGAATTTGTGGTTTTCGACAGGCATGTTTTTAATGCCGCAAGAACTGATATTTTTTAACGTGTAAAAATACTTTTACATTTCTACACGTAAAAATCCGAAAACACGTAAGTACAACGTAAATACAGCCTCGTGTACATAAGGACAGTACAGACTTAGGAGACCGGGGAGCAGGAGATAGATGCCCTTTGAGGGGTAGAAAACGAGCTTTGGCCGCGCGCTTTCGTTGCCCTTGCCGAGGGCAACGTTAACATTGTGCTGCGGGTGCTGCAGATGGTGGAAGACTGATCATTGTATGCGAATCTCATCGTGTAACGTGGGTGCCTCAGGGAGCCGTAAAATGGTAAAAATAGCTGCAAAAATAGCCCCCCTCGCAAATTTAAGTTTTTACACATAAAACGTAAACGTGAAACACCAGCAGAAAACGGCATGCTTGCGATACCAACTGCGATGCTACTTGACACAAACTGATGCTAACACAGCCATTTTTTGGCCATCACAATCACTGTGACGGCAACATTTTGTGTCAAAATGGCATCGCGGTTGCCATCGCAAACATGCCGTTTTCTGTCAGTGAAAACCAAGCCTGGTTTCGGAGAGTCTCAAGCACGTGGCCAAGGGAACAGCGGCAAGGTCGACGAGCTTGGATGCACGCCACTGCATCATCAGCAGCACCTGCCCCTTCACGTACTTTCCGGGTATTTGCAGTCACAGCGTCTCCGCCAGCAAAGTCATCTTATGTTAGGACAATGCACTGCAAGGTTTACTAAAGACTGAGAATGAAGAAAAGCCCCTGGACACTGGAATGCGATGTAATGTTCTGGAATCTACAAAGAAGCGCAAAAAGGCACCGCACTCATGTAAAAACTCGTCAGGTGGTGCACCTGGCGCAATACTCGGGCATCTGGCCGTTCAGAAGAGCCCGCACGTGCTCGTAGGCCGCCCTGCCCACCCCGTCCGCCAGCGCCCACCCCGCCGGCACGGACGGCCCGAAGTGCACCCCCGCCCACAGCCTCGACATCCCACACGCCCGCGACACGTCCTCGTACGTCTCGTACTCCAGGCTCACGGCCCTCCCTTCAAAGTCCACCGCGGGGCCGAACGCCCCGGGCGGCAAGTTGATCTTGGCGATGGGCCTCACCTCTCCCCTCAACTCCTTCAGAAGCAGGTCGGCGTGCTGCGCCGATGCGTTGCAGATCGCGGCCGAACCCGAAGGGTACTCGGAGTGGGGCTGGGTGGGGATGAGGGGTTCCCATTCCTCGGCGGCGATCTCGGCCGCGCCCGTGGCAGCGTCCACCCAAGCCCTGAACCTCTGCCCCTTGTACATTGTCCCGATCACCGTCTCTGGCCTGACTGCGTCGTGGCGCACTTTTTCCTTCCACGCGAGGAGGATCGCGTCGTGCTGCGCGAGCATCTCGCCCAGGAACCATCTTGTGTAGATTGCGATCTGGTCCAGCTTCCAACCGAACTCCCGCCCGTGGTCCAGAACAAAAAAGCCAAGGGACAGGGACTTGAACTCGAACCACCGCGCCTGGAAGCGCTGCTCGAAAGTCAGGTTGGCGGAGGTCTCGAACAGATCTCCAACGAGCGCATTCATCGTCGCGGCGTCTTCGTTGGTCAGGTTCTTGGCATTGATGTCCGCGTATGGGGGTGGCGCCTGGCGGGTCAGGAACTGCTGCGGAGACAAAACTAGCGGATCCATGTCCCCCGCGAAGGGCACCACGTGGCTCTGAACAATGTACCTCCCGTTGCCCACGTGCTGCGTCAGGGGCTGCCATCTCAGCGGGTACTCCACCTCCCAGGGGCAGTTCACCGGCCTGTAGCCGCTCGTGTCCTCGAACGGCTGCCGGTAGTGCTCCCGCGTCAGATCCCCTAGCGAGTTCCACCCGTCCGCCGCGAAAAACTTCGCCACCTTCATCCCCACCGCGTTGCCAACCCCTATGCCCGTCGACATGTTGGTGCTCCGATCTTTTGGATCGTACCCATTGGCCGCCATCTGGATCGCCAGCCCCGCCGCGACCGCCGGGAACTCCAGCTCGAGCGCTCTCAGGCTGGAGTAGGCGATCGCCTCCGCCCTGCTGGCGAACCCCGTGCAGACATCATCCTCGAATTGGTGACGCTCGCCCCAGAAGTCCAGCGCCACGCGGGCCGGATCACAGCCCGCCGCGTGGATGTTGAACCCCACGACGGCCAGCATCAGCGCGTGGCGGATGGCGACCGCCGCATCCGCGGCGATGATGGCGGGGGGAAAGAGGGTGTTGGTGATCGTGTCCAGCAGCGGGGGAGGAGGTTCGTCGAGCAGGTAGCCGGGCAGCAGGCCGGCGGGGTTGCGCTCTGGGCGCATCATCGATTGCGCCGATCCGCCCGCGGGCAGGAGAAGTAGCAGACAGATCGCCAAGGCCGCCATTGCGGGACCCGTGCCTCTGTGCGCCCCCTGGGGCCAGCTGCGGCGGAGCCACGCCGAAGTGATCGTGCGGGGTGAGGAGTGGCCATTTTGGCTCCCTGTGGTGCGGGTCTGACTTGGGGGGCAGGGCAAGGGCGGTAAACAAGTTGCGGATAAGGAGGGGTGCAAAGACTGCGACCTGACGAGGGAGGTCTGACGTTGTGCGGGTGGGGGCTGGTTGGCATCGGGGGCTTCTGGTTGCATCATCGCTTTACTGCACCTGATCCCAACGCGCATCAAGGCTGCACGGTGGGGAGGGCCCGAGCCCGTGTCCACCATCGGATTACTGTGCCAATGTGCGGCTGAGGGGGGCGTTTGTCACGGGAGTTTGCGCACGGCAACAGTACGATAATCGTACGTGATTTTGCAGTACAGTTTGTCGTGGCCATGCGACCTGATCAGGTCCTTCTCGTGAGAAGAAGGACTGGGTCCCGAAACCTCGACCGCCTGCTTTTCAGATAGAAGGCCAAACTATCCCATCTGAGGCATGAAATTAGTCACTCTGCCTTTCCCGTGAGGTTATCCGCTTGTTTCGCACCCTGAACCCTAAACCACTTACCCAATTACCCACGTTGGCCTTGTCAGCGGAAGAAGACGGGATCCAGAAAAGACAGACGGACTGATATGTTCTTCCTTTCTGAGCGGCTCACGAAGATGCCTTTGCTTGGGCAAGAAATGGGCATTCACATCACATGTCCATTGGACATCCCCGCAGATCTGAAAGGTTCGAGATCCAGAGCAGATCTGCTCCCGATTCTGCAGGTGGCAAGGCAGAGTTGTTGCCGTTCACATGGATACTTCTGTGCAAATGCCCCTCTGCGCAGTAGCGAAGGTATCCGCTCCTCGCCATCGTGAGACTGCTGCTGTCGCAGCAGCCTCGAGGATTGGAGTTCTTCAAGCTTAAACGCGTTTGAAGTTGTACCACGAAAACGTACTGCGAAATTCACGGCGGTTGATGTGTGACTGCATGCTTCAAACACATGACGACAAATTTGGATGAAGTTTCACAGAAAGCGGGTATGAACAACAAAATGGATATTTCTGCAGGCAGAACAGAATAATCTGACCCGGAACTTTGCCTTAGTTTGACCTGTACTCCTCTGACATTATAAACGTCAGTTCTAGGCAAGCGGAACAGGAAAGCTCAGATTAAATGACTTACGTGAGAAGAAGTAAGTCGCTGTTATGCTATTGGCGGGAAGGGATACGAATAACACATCCCTTTCTTTCAAAAGCCAAACAATGAAATGCTGTATGCGCGGGCCCCTTAGATCTAAGAAACTCCAATGCATTCTTGTACTCTCGAAGCTGATCATGAATGAGATTCTCGATTGCCAGCGCAAGCTGCATCTGACCCACATCGTCGCCTTATCATCCCCCTTTGGAATTGGAGCATTGTTAATGGACACGATTGTTGATCGCCATGGACGTTTTCAACGCATTGTATGCCACATGACCAGGGCGGTACAGAAGTACAGGGAGTCAAGCCTTCAACGTGAAACGTGCTTGATTTCTCCCTGATATGATCTAAGTTTCCTGTTGATGTGGTTGCCCCAGGTATGCCCCACACAAACACGCCAAGTCCACGACGCTGGTTTTGTCCAAGGGAAGGATGCAGAGCGAATGCAATTCCTGATATTCGGGACAAAGCTTGTCCCTTTTCTTACAAATACAAGATTGTGCAACGGATGCAGCTGGTGCTGCGGATCTCAGACGCGCCTTACAAAACATCAATATCCAATTGATCATAGAGGAAGCAAACGTGTGCATATATATGCGCATATATGTGCGTATACGCATTGCAACATTTCTGTAGCAGACAGGTCGGCATCATCCGGACTTTAAATGGAGCGCTGCATCAAGAAGTACATTTCAATTGATGCAGTCCCAAGTCGCGCTGCGGCAATGCCATTTTATCAACGTCAGCAGACGCTGGAGTGAGGCCCTAGTTTGCGTCGGCCTAGGTACATGGGCCCTGCTGCAGAGAGCTCGGCGCTGCATCAGTGGTGATCCACCAACAGTTTTGTGTCAATTTCCTTCGTAAATTCCAATGATTCATGCACATTCTACAGTTGTTCTCCGCATCCCTGCAGTGCATCAGCATCGCTCACACTGCAATTGCAAGCTTGAGACATGTGAAAACAGCATTTCGCGGGCCACCTCTTCCTTTTACAAAGGTACACACAGCGCTGCCCACAAGAACACAGCTGCTGCACCACCCAGCAAGGAAAGCCACCACATAGCTCATTTGTTCTTGTGCAGGGATGGTGCGCAACTTATCATTCACGAACTCCACCCACCCCCAGAAATCGTATCAATGAAATACCATTCTGAAAAACTAATCATTGAGAAAGAAAGATAAGAAAGAAGAAAAGAAAGAAAGGGAGGAAGTAAACAAACGAGAATGCAAACCAAGAATGGTACTCAATGCGACAGCCAATGTCAGTGTCGGCCCCGAGAACATATGTCCAGAAGCGTGCACGCCGAGAGCGCTGAGGCGGACGGACAGATGGCTCTATTTGGAGGCCGATCCTCAGCAAGGATCCGCGCAAATCTGCACTTGAGCTGCGCGGCGGCCAACAGAAGAGATCCGTCTGCTGGCGGGGTCACTTATTCCATTAATGGAGGGAATCAAAAAAATAGAAAGCAATGCAAAAAATGGCAGCTCCTGCCGTCTCCCCGCAGGAAAATGAAATATGCGAGACGGCTTGGTGCCACTTCGCGATGTCAGCCGACCTAGGGCTCATCCAGAAGAAGGCGCGCAGGTCCTCTGAGTTTGCCTCATGGGTGAAATCAATGTACCGGTGGACAGCAGCCGAGCCAAAGCCCCACCCACAGCCCCAAGAAACAACCGGCGCCTCACATGACACATACCGTAATAGAATCTATGTGCGTCCGTAAGCCTGCCAAACTTAGTAGATTTATTCGCTGAATCTCGGACAGCCGGGTCTCGACACTTCGCTCAATCTGCCTCCGCTGGTCGGCTGCGGAAATGGTTCGCGCACACTTCGACGATGCTCCCTTCGACGCCCCTCTCCTCGGCTTCTGCGGCATCGGCGCCGCCGTCAACGGTGTCGCTTGAGGCTGATGATCTCCTGCGCCAGACGGACCGGGCGATCTGGGAGAGATTCAGGGGTTGCCGCTGTGATCCGAGCTCAAGTTCCTCCACAGAGGCAATGATGTTTCTGGAAGGATACCATGAGATTACGTTGGAAAATGCCACTCAGCCCCAAAATGAAGCCACGGCCATAGCAACAGCCTAAAATTCTCGCATTGAGGGAACCACTCGCTGCTGTCCATGGCTTTGTGCATTGCAATGAAGACAAGTGCTGTAGAATGTATATTGATGAGAATATTTACAAATCACAGGAAACACAGCGCAGCTGGGTGGCTGCACAGAAATAGTGCAGCAAACATTGCGATGCCAATCTGACAAGTCGGCAGGCCACGGCATTGGGCACTTTTGTTGTATTCAAAGCAGTATTGTACTGTTTGTTTTGCTCGCAGTCTATGTACTACAGTGCTGCTAAAGAAGACTTGCGAGCAGGGCAATTGGATAATTCCCTGTGTCAGAGCCGATAGATAGCAATTGCAAATGCCAAACATCGCTTAGCCCCAAAGCGTTTCCTGCACTGATCGCGTTGAGGTGCCCTGAACTCAGCATTTTGAGGAGGCCATGGGGCTCAAATATCTGCACTGATCTCCTGGAAGAGTTCGCAATGCATCCTGCGCTTTCGACTTTGCAGGCCGGTCGTCTGGAACTCACTGTATCTCGGCTCGGATTTCTCCTTTGATCTCCAAGTCGTCCAGAGCCCTAATTATAGTCTCCTTCACATCGTTCCCCCCTTCATCGTCGGACGGCGTTGCCAGGCATATCGCAAGGTCCAGGGATTGGTCAGATTCGAGGCCGCTCGGTAAGCCCATGGCCGCCGGGGAGTCCACCACCAGCGGAGGCGCGGTCTCACTCGGCAGGCCAAACTTCTCGTAGCAGCTGCCGGCAGCCACCGCCGGCACGTGCAGCCCCGACTCGAGCACCACCTCCGTCTCTATACTTCTCGTCAGTTCGTTGACGTCTTTTGCGAGTTTGTCCGCGAATGCATGCGGAACGGCGTTGCACCTGGCGCCTGGCCTTGGGGCCACCATCGGGCTCAAGGCTGAAGTGGCAAGTGAGGCTGCCACAACGGTGGGCCGGCCCCTATTTGTCAGCTCTTGGTGTTGAGTCTGCGCCAGCACCCAGCGGGCGTGAGGACCACAGTCCATGCGGTTGGCATTAGATTTTCATGCCAGGCTACAAAACGAGAGATTCTGAATGGGCTTCTACTTGACGTGGAATTGACAAACGGTCCTTCAGTATTAGATCCTCGTGTCCCACAAGGGAAAGGTTTGTACACGTGTTTGGGAGCACCTGTTGTGGCTCAGTCTGCATGTGCTCACGGAATTTACAGTACAGTAGCACTTGCAACAAGAGGAAAGGCAGGCGTTTCATGACATGTGTCCGCAAGCACTCCGTGCGATAGGTATGCATGCTTCCCTGTTGCTGTGACAGCATCCAGGGGAATCAGCATATGCAGGAAACGGTTCTATTTCTTCCACTATTCCAACAGTGAAACATGTACAGCAGACCATCCCAAGACATGACTTGCGGCGGTGATCCCCGTGATGGGTAGATGTAACGGTCATGATTTGCGGTGATCTCCATGATACCCGTGATCATGTGCACACAGAGCCAATCGTGCGGCGCGCCGTTCTGGGGCCAGGGTTCAGTGTAACACGAAATGTCACGCCGGCTGAGTAACGTCAAATTTTCGGCAACAGATCCTACACACACACACACACACTCCGCGCCTGTTCTTCGAGCCTCAAGAATCGTGCCCGCCGTCCTGGCTGTCACGGCACCAGACTAATCAGGTGTCCACGACCGCAGCGGTCGCGTCAAAGGCCGCGCACCGTCATCGATAACCAACGCCTGGGGGCCCACCTGGCGGGCCGCACGCCTCTCACAACTGCCAAACCCGTCCTCGTGTGCCCCACGTCCGCCGCCACGTTCGCGCATGGGGCCACCTGGCCCACGGCCATTGCCCATGTGGGCGCCATGGAGCCCCGGAAAGGGCTGCCTGGCGCCCACCGAAACTTACACACCCTCTTGCTTGATTGAGATCTCGAGCCGGATGGGCACCGGGACAGCGACCTTTGCCCTTCCCGCAACCGTCACTGTGTTTCTCGCGCGCCTTTGAGAGAAAACGGAACCCAACAGGTCCATGGCCGTCGAAGCAGCCCGGTTCGGAGCCCCGGTGCGGGCGGTTTTGCGCGTCGGTGTCGCGACAGTCTCCGTCGCGCGATCTTGCGTGGTGTCCATGGACACCAACCATGACGCCAACTCATTCCGGGCCGATCCTTTGCGGCCCCCACACAAGTCGTGCTGATTACTGGCTCGGATGTTTGAGAAGCGGGCTCGCGGCTCCGCGGCAAGGGAGTGCGGGACGCCGGACCCAAACTTCAGATTGCCGGATCCGGAACTTGAAAATGTGTTCCCGGCGGGGGATAGTGCGCCTTTCGCGACACATGCGCGCTGTCGACTTGGTTTGGATGGGGCGTGAAGCACTACGACTCCAGAACGTTGGGATGAGGGCACGCACTTTGCGGACCTTGGCGTCGATGAACGACGGCGCTCGATGAACGACGGCGGCTGTGTATGGCTGACCGTCGACGCAGATTGCTGTGGAGCCCGTCTGAGGCACCAAGGGCGACCGCATCCCGTTTCGCCACGACAGCGGCCCCCAGCGCCAGGAGCGAGGGCACGGCGCCGATCCAGACGTCCACAGATCTGCCGGCACCCAGCAAGGCAACCACAGGCCCCCCCCACACAGCAATTCCGCCTCTTCCCCCGACATGCCAACCGTTGGAAGCGCCGTTCACACTCCACAGACGCCCACTTACACAGCCACCCACCTTGCGAGCCCTCTCTCCGGAAGATGACACGCCAGGCAGCCGCTGCCCTCCCTCGCCGCGCGGAAGATCCGCCGTGAACGCTCCGCGCCTCCTCTGCATCATCTCCCTCCGTCAAATTCGACCCTAAAATCGACCGGGAGCCCTCTTAGCGATCTCGTGGCAGGCGGAAAGGACGGAAAAAGGTGGTCCCTCGAAGCGGCGGGCCTCGCGGCGCTCTGCTGCCCCCGCGGCTCAGGGCCGTCCTGCAGAAGTCTGGGGGCGGACGTCCGCGCAAATGGGCCCCGGTCAATGCCGGGCCCGGGACGCGGGACAGTGTTGAGTAATTGCTAACATACAAGTGGCCGTGCTTGGGGACGCGTTGCGTTGCACGCGACGCCTGTCAAGTGCTCTGCTTAAGTACTGTGACGTATGTCCCGGCAAAGCCACACGGTGGGCTGGGGTTTGGGGCGCGCTGGGCTGCACGCAACGCCTGTTAAGTACCGTGCTTAAGTACTGTTAGGTACCTCCCCGTAAAGCCACATGGCTGGCCGTCAGTTTGCGCCGTCAGTTTTAGGCGTTGTGCTGCGGACAGGGGGATGGACTTGTGCCTGGCACGGTGATGCAATGGCTCGGCTGGGGAGGCGATCTGTATTGTTGACGGACGGGCCGGCTGGTTGCCCCCTCGCTCGAGAGCCACATGCCAATGGGGTTTGGCGCGTGGCTCTCGAGAGGCCGTCGGGAAGGCTGGAATCTTCTCGGTCGTGGAACGAGGGAATCTCAGACCATGGGCGCGAACCAGGGGTTGAGAATCGACGGCGTGTTGCGGACTAGATTGGCAGGGGTCCTGATTTGTACCGCCTCCTGCCGCGCGCCGCGTGTTGCGTGTCCAATGTGAGAGTTGGGAGACGGCAGGGGCCCGGCCTGTTTGGTGTCAGCGTGAACCCCTTGGTCGCATTGGCCCACAAATTGACAGAGAACGCCCCCTGCACTGCAGGTGCGCACCTGCGAGGCCATGTTGCCCATGATAAGTCAACACAGAATTTGTCTGCACCACGGTCTTCGTACACGCTAATCGTTGTTGCAAATCGTCGACCTTCACTTCCTGTGTCCATGTCGTCAGGGATCAAGCCACGCCTGACAGCGATGACGCCAAGAGCTGAGCGTCGTTGAGCCATTCTATGCTTTAGTGAAACGTTAGCGTGCATATCTTGAATTTCAATACATGCGTTTGGTGCAGAGTTGGGACAGAATTCATGGCCGCCTGAAAGCGACCCTAGACACCAAGCGCGCCCCACCGCCTCTACCAGAGGTTGCTTCGGCATTTCAAGCCACAAAAAGAAGGACCTGATGCCCAGCGATGGGCACTGCACAGTGGTCATAGACTTCCATGTCGATAGGGCAACGGACGAGCAAGGGCCCATTAGAAGCACATCCTTATTGAAGGCATGCATTTCCGTGGCACCACCTGGCCATTCGGTGCCAGGGAGCTGAACTTGCTCACTAAGGAAGGAGCATTTTCATGGAATGGGGCCAAAATGGACAACCAATGGCGCGATTCAAGATACGTGTACATGGATGTGCTTGCAATGTATATTAAACACATTTTAGGCATGTTTCAAATGTTGATCTCCTACACAGGCAGCTGAATGACATCGTGTGCACAACCGAGGTTCCCAAATATGTGTTATGCTGGATGCAAGTCAACCAAGCCAGACTGATCTCATCAGAGTCAATGCTGTCTCTCATAGTCAATGTATGGCTGCAACGTTTTTGCAGCACAATACAGTAATATTGCAAAAAGAAATTGTCAGAAGAAAAACACGCTTCCGGCACTATGGCCATCCTCATCAGATATGCTATCCCAGGTTAGCCAATTTGGAGCAAAATAAACTTCTCTGTACCAGGGATAATAAACGCCCTCACCGTTATTGCAGACCTTTCACCAGGCAGTCGTTTCACAAGACTAAATCAATGGCCACTTACTCAGTAGTCAGATGCCGTTTCTGTCAATGCGCTCCGCCCACATCACCTCGATAGTATCCAACGTACTACTTGACAAACTCGTTTCTGGTCCTGCACTTAGCAACACAGTGGCAAATCTGCCCGCTATCGCCATTCTCAAGGTCAGCAGCCTGCTTGCACTCTGTGCTGCACGCTTGTCCAGCAATTGAATACATCAGATGACCACCACCAGCCTCCCGGTACCCAACAGCCAATGAATTCCCACGCTTGGGCCCTGCACTCGCTTTGCGCTCTTCAAGCTCTGCCCCTCCTGACACCGCACGCCACACACCGGTTGACGTGACGCCCACGAAATGCGAAACGAAACGCGAAAGTTACCGACACCCCCCTGCCCACCATTTCACAATTGTGGCTTGCAAGCCTCCCACGCCCCTCCCCCCCACCCTCTCCGGGCCTGGGTCTTTAGGGAGGGACGTACTGGGACTGAGCGTGATTGTTGGGGACTGGAATTGCTTGATGGGGACTGAACTGAGCCAGGTGTGTGGAATGTATGGCGGGTTGTATCATGTTGGGGACAAGTTCAGGGTGTTCTGTATGGGGATTGCGGCTTGAGAGGCTTCTTGAAGGGCTAGTTAGGACTCGGTACTAGAACATGGCTGGGACTCGGGACTGGAACGTGGCCAGGACTGGGGACTGAGTCACCCTCTTGGGTATAAATGTGCACAGGACAAACATTCATGTAACTTCGATTCTGGGTCCACCATTGCTGCTTTGTGTGCTTGTATATTCCGAACTGTTTCTTGGACAGTGTGCGCCGCATCCCGTTTCGCCTGCAGGGAAGGAGGCGGCCGCGATGTCACCCCACGATCTGGACACCGTTCGACGCCCATCAGCCCATTGTGACGGCTGCTCTGGCATTTGCGGCTCTGCAGCAGCACAGGCATGATATGCATCCGTCCGGCGCGGCGCAGGTACGTGGATCACAGCCACACACAATTTTTTTGGTGGCCAGACAAGTGAAAAATTCCTGCGTGTGAGTGGCATGCCCGCAGCGTGGCCAAAATGTTCATTGGGGTTGGTGTCTCAAGCCCATGGACGACGCCAGTCGATAACGGGACTGGGGGGCGCCCTCCTCCCCTCCTAAGTTTCATGATTTTTTTGCGCCATGGAGCTTGGACCCCGTCCCTTAATGGCGCTTCACACCGCCCCCCTGCTGGCAGGAGTCGCGCCACATCATCCTTACCGTACTTCCGCCTACAAGTCCGACATCAGGCGTGTGGCACACCGGCGATTGTCGGGAAACAGTGCCCTGCGGTGATGCGGAGCGAGGAAATGAAATCTGCACCCGTCAAAGGGACAAGGTCAGAGAGGACGGCCATCATTCAACTCATCAGTGTCCAAGAATAGTGACGAACATGCCTTTCAGCTTCTCACATGCACACAGCGACAATCGGCTGATGTCGGTCATCTGCAGCAGTATCCATCGTGCATACAACCAATACATAGTGATGGGGGCATTCCGTGCTCCACCATGTCCGCCCGCAATGGCGACGATACAATCCAATCCAGTCAAGCACTCAATCTATCCAACCAATCAATCAATCTACAGCTGAGGAGTTACACACTCTGCATAAGCAGGGCTCAAGCCCATAACCACCCCGTTGAATACATCACAACCCATCTTCCTCCCCTTCACATTATCCGTTACACACAAACCGCAGCAATGGTATCCACATGTCCCCCAATGTTCATTTCTTTCAATCACAAGTGCAGTGCCACTCTCGAAGTCGGCCACAACAGAAACCGCCTGCCCAGGGCTGCCCTTATTCCCAGCAAATAAAATCCCGTTGCAGAACAAGAAGAACTAAAAACAAAGAAGAACTGAGAATAAAGAATCAAGCAATTTTCTCCCCCACGATTCGTAGTTTATTCCCACGCCTCAGCCTGGAAGCCAGAGGCAAACTCCCACGATGACAGATGTTTCCAAGAACCTGGAAGTGTTTTCATGCATCACAAGTCCACAGCAACAGGGGGCACCGCAATCATTCGCTCTGCTGAGGCGCCACTGCCTGCTTCAGCAAACCGTGGAGGCCCCCAGTGGAGACGATGTTGCCCTGAACATCGCAGTTCTCTTTGGCAGCACTCGTGCTGTCCGCTGCCGACCTTGTGCCCCTTGTCATTACCCCTCCAAATCGGATCGGACGACGGCGACGGCGATTTCTGTTAGTTCTCAAGCGCAGCTGGTTCCTGTCTTCCGAGTCAGACAGGCTCATATGTGCCAGAGAGTCCAATGCATACCTGTGAAAGACATGGATTCCTTGTGTCAATTGCTCATCAGCACGGAACAAGGTTGAACTGAACAGTGTGGACTACGTTTTTTTACATGTCGGCAATTCATGCCTGACGTTAGGTGTTAATGCTGTAAGGACATACCACCAGGCACACCCTTGTTCGCACCACTTAAGGAATATAAAGCCACAAGGCCAACTACAATGTGAAAGCATTGATCTTGACTATCTACACCAATAGTACTTTGAAAAACTAATAAATGACAGCACTTGAGTGCCACAGTCAACACTCACATCTGTATGCTCATGCGTCCACTGTCAGCTTCAGTTCCAGCTGCAATGAACATCTGTCAATGCCCTGCGTCTTGCCTTCCACAGCATATACACAAAAGCCATGATGGTCACAGTGTTTTGCCCACTGATTTGCAAACATGTACTCGCGCAAGCCCGTTGCAATGCATATGACCCTCTCACACAACGGTCAGATGTGCCATAGGTGCTGTTGCACTTACTCGAGCTCGAATCGAATTTCATTCTGCAAGGCAAGATCATCCAGCGATCGCTGCACTTCTTCATCCAGGCCACCCCCCTCCCCCTCAAATGGCGTCGCCATGCACATGGCCATTCCCAAATCCTCCTCAGACGTGTTGCCAATTGCACCAGCGTCCACCAGAGCTGGGGCCAGTTTGGAGGCCACGCCGAAATGCTGCACACAGCCACCTGCAGCAATCCCCACGACATGCAGCCCTGACTCAACGACCACCTCTTCTTCGACGCTTTTTGCCATGCCCTCTAGATCCATGGAGATCTCCCTGACCACTGGGGTCACATCTGGCAGCGCCACGGGTGGCACAGCTGCCGCACATGTGCGCACAGAGGGCCTGGTGGCTGACTGAGGAGCGTGCGGCATCAGCATGGAATTGCCTGGGAGGGGGCTGAGGGAAGTCTTCCTCGCGCCTGCCATCTGGCCCTGCACATCAATGCAGTGGGAATGTTGGAAGGTGTGTGACTGAGGGCAATGATGGCAGGTTCACAGCTGTGTGAAGATGTGTGGATACACACTCTGAATGACTAAAGGACTAGCACTGGGAGGTATTCTCCATGGCAAGCACATTCTCCACTGTTGTGGCGCCGTTTGCAAAGTCGCAAAGTAACTAACCAGCAGCAGCTACACAAGGGACTAAGTTGCTGATGGCGAAGAGAACAAAGCCTGCTCGTTTGGAACAACCAAGGGCTTCGGTCATGCGTCACCGAAAACATGGAACACACACAATGAGCAGGAACACAACTTGGTGAAAAGCTGCTTTTCGTATCAGATGCACTACCAGTTGTGCTGTGGGACGACTGCGGCCACATGACAGCACCACCTCAGCAGCTGGGCGCACCAAAACAAGCAAATGAAGACTGGTGTTTTGTTTACGCAGAGCTGGTCCACAACCAGAACCATCGCCACGGTTTTAGGACAGGTGCCATGCAGCTTCCCAAATGCCCATGGCGGATACACTTTCGCACCAGCACCGAACTTCGCCCGAGCATTTGGGGCTACGCACTCAGCCGAAACAAAAGCCTGACTCCGAACTAAAAGCCGCTGAAGCCCACCGCACTGAGCGCGAGACTAATCTAGGACGCGCCAAAAGCCGCAAAGTCCGCGGCGGGGGCAAATCCTCGCGCGGCGGCGCCCATGCCCGCCAATGCCACCCAATGCCACCCAATGCCACCCAATACCCACAATCGCCTCAGGGCGGCCATTGCCAAAGATCCCACAATCCATTCGCTTCTCCATCGCCATGGCATCACACGCGCGCGCTCGCGCCAAAACGTGATGCTGCCTGACGCGACATTCGGTGCCCACGGATCACTCAATGACAACCGTTGCCCGCACAAACCCCCACCCCACACTCACCACGCCTCCGGCGTCTCCCATGCCGCGCCCCTCCGCGCCGCCCAGCGACGCCGCCAGTGGCCGCTGCGGTGCCGCCGCCTGCGCACCCAGCTCCAGCAAACACGGCGCGCTCACGACCTTCCTCATGCCGAGCAAAGATCAACCAAACGCCAAATTCAAAGGATGTGACAAACGACTGCCCTTGCTCGAGGCTTGAACGCTGGTTGCAGGCCGAGTGGCTCGCTGGTTCGGCCCTGTCCTTCCTCTGCCCGCCTGTTTCTCGCCCTTGCCTTCTGTGGGTTCCCTTCCTGGACTACCTTCCCATCGGTGCCGTGGCTGCGCTTATATAGGCGAGCAGCGGTCTGCGGGCCACAGGGAATTCCGGTCACGTGATCCGGTGCATTGTACCCGGGTCCCCCACGAATGGGTGGGTGGGAGGGAGCGCGGCCAGGCCGTCGTGTGTCGCCAATGGGACGTCGACGCAACCTTGCAGCGGGGCGGCGTTTGGCCACAGCAGTGGCTGACCTGGAGCGAGGCGTGCTGCCGTTGGGGTCATGGCAGCGCGCCCCTGTGCGTGTGTGCGGCGTGGACATATTGGAATTGCGATCTTTGAGTGAGGAAAATGAGCAGGAAATGGGGAAAATGAGCAAGAAATGAGGGAGTTATGGTGGGGTCGTCGGACGGCCGGGGGGGCGGGCGGCTGGCGGGGAGCCGCAGCGGGCGGGGGGGCCGTGCTGCCATCCAACGGACGGCGGTGCTCGTGTGCTGCGAGGGCCGGGGGAGGGATGGAAGGGCGGCTGCATCTGGATAAGGGTGGGCGTCGATGCAGTGGCAAGTGTGCAGTACCGTTGATGCAACGCCGGAGTGCTGCACCGAGGCCGGTGAATCAGCACCGCGGCAGCGCTGGCACGCGCATCAACGCCTGTCGATACTGACACCTGGGCATTTGACGTCGGAGGACATAATATTCCTGCCTGCACCAAATCGGTGACTGCTTGCACCAAGTCACGTGCACACTATGTCCTAACCTCAGTTTTAGGGTTAAGTTTAGTTTTAGGGTGAGTTTCAGGGTAAGGTTTAGGTTCAGGGGAGGTTTAGTTTCAGGGTTTAGGGTCTGGGTTTTGGGTTAGGTATGTTTTGGAGGGAGTTAGTGCAAGCAGTCACCGATTTAGAGCAGAAAGTCACCGATTTGGTGCAGCCAGTAATTTTATGCCACGTGGGAGTGGCGCTTTTTGGTGGGTCATGTGTTGGGGGTACAGCACGGACGGTGACATGCACATCTTCGTCGTAACATCATATGTACGAAATAGGCATGGTACCTGGGTACAGGCTACCCGCGTATCCGGGCAGGGTACTGGTTTTTCTTGTACCCGCTTACCCGGGTACCCGCCAACCCTTGTACCCAGGTAGGTGGGCACGGGTACGTACCCGGGTACAAGGGGTACGGTAGGGTACCCGGACTATCCGGGTACTGCCAGTACACGGCACTCCCAGTACCCGGGTCCGGGTACGGACCCGGGTACTGCGCAATTGACCAGCGGTCGTTCGGTGCATTGCTTGGCCCCGCGTTGGTTTCCGCGAACGTCACCCCCGTCCACACTGTGTGCAGCTGTGTCCGCCACAAAACGGCGAGAGTGGGAGGCCGAACGTTGGCTGCACTCCCGCATTGCTGCCACTCGCGGCCACCGATTGGTGCCACTCGCGGGTGCCCTGATTGGCATCCCTGAGTGGCGTCAATCGGCGTCCACGAGGGGCGGATGCCAAAAGGTCAACTACGACGTGCGCGGCGCCCAGAGCTTACGCGCAAAACGCGTATTGAGACAGCAGGAGCGGGAGGCCGATCGTCACCTCCCACTCCAGCCACTTTCGCTCCTCGCGGCCACCGAACGGTGCCACCCGCGGGTGCCCTGATTGGCGCCCGCGAGTGGCATCAATCGGCGCCCCCAGGAAGCCAAAGTGGGCACCACGCTTCGCCGTGCATAAGCGGAAATCCACTGCAGTAATCGTGCCTCCCACGTCTCTCCCGCGGAGGCCTGCTACCCCGCCCTTTCGCAGTCGCACCGTCCGAAATACCGTGTTCGCGGAAACGGACGGGCGCCACCACCTCTGTCCGCAAACTTTGCACCGTTTGCGGTGGCGTCGTCGTGGACTCCGTTGGACAGAAGCCGGCCAAGCGCGCGGCAAACCGGTTTCCGTACCCGAGTGTGTACCTGGACCCGGGTACTGGTTGTACCCCGGTACCCTTTTGTTCGTGATTACCCGGGTATCGAGTGTGCCCGGGTTGCTGGGTACACCCTGGTACCCAAGTTCTGGAAACCCCGGGTACCCGGGTCCGGTTTTCTCAGCAAGGTACCATCCCTGGTAGGAAATCTTCTTCATCTGGGCATTTGCCAATGGCCTTTTGGCGCCCCTTAAATTGTGCAGTCATCCGCCGACAGAGAAAGCCCATTAAGCCGCTCATCAAAGGGCAAGCCTTGGTACCTTTCACTCTCTAAAATCCACAAAACGCCTGGCCCTCGTTTCACTGGCCAAAACTCGACCATTATAATCGATGTACAATCGTGTCAAAATAGAGTAAATAGGGTACTTTGGAGCACGATTTTACACGATTGCTAAAATCGCGTAGTTTTCAGTCCTGGGTGGTACACGAAGGTGGGCCACCTTACCACCATGGACAACACGATGAAGATCACGGTTTTCTGCACGACTTCAACCGTGTACCAGCAGCAGCCGTGTATTTTGTGATCAGTACATGACGGGTACACGATTTCTAAACGATTTTCACACGCACAACACGGTACATGATTTCTAGGACTGTGTACTTTGGCCGACTTTTTGCTTGTGTTTGAATGCAGTCCTGTGCACCAGTAGGTTCCATACTTCGCGAGAGTGCGTTTGCCAGAAACACATCGAACTACCAGTACTGCCCACAGAACCTGGCCCACTTCAAGCGCCCAACAGCGTCTCCCTCTTCGGAAATTGATTAACGACGGTACTCGCAGCCCTTCCCGTCAAGGATGCATACAGAGAAGTCGTCAACGCAGGCCTGTGTAATTCCCCCTCCACGGCGTACACAGCATGTTTGCCCAAAAACACTGGTATAAAACGGCGTGTTTGCGATGCCAACTGCGATGCCATTTTGACACAAAATGATGCCATCACGGTGATTGCGATGGCATGAAAAGTGGCTGTGATGGCATCAATTCGTGTCAAAATGGCAACGCAAGCATGCTGTTTTCCACTAGCGCAACTTGGTGTCACAGATCCACATATGCGGGGTTGTGGAGTGCTTAATTTTGAACGCTTTTCTGCTCACAGTTGCCATCATTTTGCAGCTAACCTATTTGACGCAGATGCACCTAAATGCAGACGCCACGAGGGTTTTGCTCAACGATGACCATCGCACGAAATCCTCTACACAGTATCGGGTCCAAATTTCTGAAGGCCGCGCTTCGGATGTCATCGAAGGAGGGTGGCCCATGTGTTGCTGCACGCAGCCGACAGGCATCAGGCGCCGTAGAGACAGCTACGGAACGAATCCGCCAGCGATTCTGCCAACCTTGGAAGCGTGGCGATGGTGAGCGCGCTTGCGAGGGGATGAACGGATGATTGGGATAGAAACGCGAGTTTTGGGGTTGAGCCGCCTCCGGTCACGTCAAAGGCGCGTCCACACGACATCCTCGACGCGCTTTGTCCAGATATTGAACGCTCACGCACCCGACAGAACGTGGCTCTTGAGCATCTGTCGCGCCGACAGACAGAGCGGGCGTTTATTACTGTATCCACAAAGTACGAGGCTGCCAGAATTGTGGTCGACTCGAGGTCCCACGAAGTGAGCCTGGTTGCGCTGCAGATGGCCACCTGGAGCCAGGCGCGGTGGCCCAAGCTTGACGAGCGTTCAAATCGGGAGCCTTTGGCGGCCTGTTGGGGACGCCCCCATTCCAGGGGGCTGGGCAAGAGCCCTGCTGGGCGAATTTACCCATGGTCTTCAGCTGGCTTCGGACGTCTGTCGAAGGCAAGTGATCCGAGAGCCGCCACTGAACCGGCGCGGCGAGACCCTTGGATGCGCTTGCCCGAGGCGTCACGGCTGGGCGCCTCCGTGACACGATTCCGGCGCCACGGAAGCGCGTGGCTGATTGGCATCGCGGAGGCCCGGGCGACAGTAACGGGGCATCCATAGACGCCCAGCCAACCATCGCGACGTGCGGAGGCACAGTCGTTCCGGGGTGCAGCCACCGTTCCCCTTTGTTGATCTGAACGCCTGTCAACGCAGCAACCGCATTCGCGATCCAGCGCCTGCACACGTTGTCTGTTGGGACTTTTGCGGCATTGGAGTCTCTGATGCGCCTTGTCCCTGTTTGCACCGTCTTCACACATCCCTTGAAGACTCGAGAAAGCGCTTACTCTCCAGTTGGAATGAATCCGTGCCGCCGATGTTTGCGGCTCGGGTGGTGCTCCTTTCCAGCCAGCGATCAGCTGCAAGTCGCGGGTCTGACAGGCCAATCAAGCGGCTCAAGAGCCGCGAAGTGCGTCGCCGCCAGGCCATCGGTGCCTCAACGCGGCTTTGAGAAATGTGGCCATCGACAGGGCGAAATCGCCCCGCACTTGTGTTGCAAGCCTTGGCGATCGCCGCTGCCACAGTCGCCCAAAACGACATCCAAATGTTCCCCATCGGGCAATCTGCTTGGGGGGCAAACGTTCACTCCAACTATCGGTGGCCGCCATGTCGCGTGCAGGCCTTATGGCCTTATGTCCACTTATCCTGGGTATCCAGTCCGGTGGCTGGCACAGGTACAAATTGCATGTCCGTACACAAGCAGATTGAGAACTTTTCACAAATCCAGAATCATGAACCCGAACCCGGAACCCTTGCACGCAGTCCGCTTTGCCGCCGATTCGACCCAGGACGAATTTCTCAGTCGGAAGGATGAAATTTCTGCGCAGGTGTGGGTCGCCTGTTGCACAATGCAGTGGCAGAAGGTATGTTTCCTACACCATCCGTCGCTCAGCCACAGTGGCGATGCCGTTGGAACTGACCCGCGGCACCTAGGGCGTATACATGAGTGTCGCAATTCACATGCATGTGGCCATGTCGATCGCATGCGTCAGGCCAATTCTCTAACCCCATTTCTCTTCCGGAAAATGCA